GGCCATAGATCATGGACCGGGCCAAAGATCATGAACTGTCTCTTATACACATCTAGATGTGTATAAGAGACAGGGGATGTACTTGGGGGAAATCCTGGTACATACAGGGGCAAAAGTAGAATTTGCTCGGGACCTAGCAGGGATATTGCATCAACTCGGGTGGGTCAAAAAGGACTCAAATTTCGACAAGGGATGGTACTTGGGGGAAATCATAGTACAGACAGGAGAAAAGTAGAATTTGCTGGGGACCTGGTTAGGATATTTCAGTAACTCGGGTGGGGCACGAGGTTCGGTAGGGAAGCAGGTACGCTATACTACTGGAAACACACTCCAAAAAAAGACAACACGGACAGGGTCGCTGAAAAAAACAAAAAGAAAAAAAAAAGAAAAAAAACACATAGCCAACATCAAGCACAATTCAGACCTTTCGGAATGTCAGGTGGTATTACATGCGCTGAATGGTATTATGTGGCCAGGGTGATAGTATGCAGGTTGGATACGTGGGGTTGGTATCATGTGGGACAGGGTCGTACTGTGTGGGATGTGGGTTGGGAGGGGGAAGGTCATACCATGCGGGTTGGTTACGTGAGGTTGTTATAATGTGGACAGGGTTGTACTCTGTGGGATGTGGGTTGGGCGATTCAACGTGGGGCAGGTCATACATGCTATGCGCACTGGGTGGTACTATGTAGGCAGGTAGGGGTATATCATGTGCACTGGGTGGGTTGGGTGGCACTATCTGGGACCGGGTGGTACTATGTGCGACTGGGTGGTACTATGTAACCCAGGTGATACTCTGTGGGTTGGATGGGTACAGCATGGGTTGGGTCATAGTATGTGGATCGGGTGGCACTACGTGGGCTGGCTGATACCGTGTGGAGTTGATGGACGATGCTAAATGAGCTGGGCGGCCCAACCGAAAGAGAACACAGGAAACAGAAGAAAAAAAAAAAGCCAAGCTCGTGGCTGAACGGTTCAGAAGGAAAAACCTGTACAATAAAAGATAGGAAATGGGCCTAGCGTCCCTCATAAACGTTGTGCAGTCCAACTTCAGAACGACACATCGCTGTCCAAGTTGATGGGCAGGCGGGACCTCTCACATACCAAGAAAGAGCAAAGCCAAACGTCTCAAATAAACGTCCAAAAGAACAAAAAAACTTGTCAACTTTCGATAGAGGGACAAGTAAGAAAAACCGAGTAAAAACCGAGTAAGAAAAAAACGAGCACTGAGATCTTTCTTTTTCCTTTCGGCACGAGACAAAACGAGCTCTGATATCTTTCTTTTTCCTTTCGGCACGAGCTAACACCCTGGACTCGATCTCTTGACCTGATTTCACAAAGAGTCGCGTGTCTTCTTTTGTCCAAACGGGCCTTCCTATGCAGTTGTACTTGGGCATCCACAACCCTCATCTAACAAAAGGAAACGCAACCGGCCAGCTCCCCGGGAAACGACAAAACGAAACAAACATCCACACATGAAAACGGTAAGAAAAAACGGAACGCATGACCGTTTCCTACAGACCACCACCCTGCTTCTCACTGCGCTACCCAGGTCTCACTTCGGCCCGCCACTCCAGACTCAGTTTACGCTTTAGGAACGGAGACCCGGACTGAGAAGAGAAGAGACCGCAGCCCCAGATAAAAACAAGCAGCAATCTCAGTGTTACATGATGTATCAATGGGCCGCTGGGCCGATTAAGAGATGCAATCAAACTATTGCAAAAAAAAAAAAAAAAGAGTAATCATAATAGCAAGGAAACAAGTTCAAAAAACCCTTGACGAGGTGGTACTCGGCGTGTTCCTGATGTGTTCCACAATGATCAAGCCACATTACTACTGAAGATCTTGGTGCTTCTGTTGGGTACCTGTTCTGCGATTGCTATATCATCTCCAATATTCGACAGCAATGGTTTTCACAAAAGAGCTACCTTCTTCCCTCGAATACGATGCACTGTCATTATAGCTGTATTTGGGGCATGTTCCAATCTAAATACAGCAATAATGACCGTACGTTGTATTCGGGGGAAGACCGTAGGAAGCGGTGCGGTGCACCACACAGCACAGGCGCACTGCACAGTGCGGATTCACCAAATTCTCTGCACGCTCTCTGAGTGTTCCGCACCATCAAATATGTGGTCGGCTCACAGCAACATCAAATGCTCAGTGGGCACACTGCACCACCACCACTTTTTTTTTTGACAAACTTATGTAAGTCGTATTAGTTCTTACATCTGGCTTGAAGGGGAAGAAAAGCGATTAAACCTCCATAACAAGAGTATGAGGCACCCACCTTGACATCCCATGCCGCGTCGATGATGAAACACTCGCGCGTTCTTGCATCTCCAACAGCATACACCAAGTTCCGCATTTGTTGGGCGCTCACGAAGATCTGCACTCCTACACATTCATTCCGGTCAGCACGGCACACAAGCCAAAACACAGTTGCCCACTTTGTTTTTTACCCCCGCCCGCAAAGTCATCTCTTCCTTTTTGCCTCATCCTGCCATCCATACAGTTGACAGGCAATTGAAAAACAAGCCACAAATAAACATGGCTTGAAGCACAAGGTTCTTCAGGGATGATTGCCGACTTTCCCCACTCCGATACTGAAATCATTCCTGAAGTGCCACACTCGTTTTTCCCCTCCCCTTTTTTAACTTTCCACTTGCGAAAACAATGCTTCCACGCCCAAGGAGCACACCCCAGTTCACCGTCTACCGATAGGACAAAAATTCATAACACTTCATAAAACACCTGGCCAGGGATCCTCACATAAACACCCTGCGATGTAAACCTAAAGCTTAAGTTTGAACCAAAACAAACTCGTGCAGGTTGTCTGAGCCGAGAGCTCCATGTCTAGCTTATTCCTCAAGAGTCAAAACACAACACCCAGTCATTATATAGATGTATTAAACCCCCAGCACATGGGCCCCAGGCAACTGGAGAACCTGTTTTTAGCCTCTCCGAGTCCTAAAATTTAGGAGGCTGAGCGCTCTAAGATCAAATGAATCGGCGGCGGTGGGCGGCCTCCGAATGGGGCCCACGACCGATAGCTGGCATGTACTGGTGCTTTAAGTGCCACTTCAGGTCACAAACAGATATAATGAATGATCAGGCATTCTGTAGGGGAGGAAGACGGTCGTTTGCAAGAGCTGTAACTCACCTTCGTACAGCAACTGCCCGTCAAGAGCATTTGCATCCTTCTCAACCATGGTTCTATCTGCTGCGCCATTTAGCAGGGCAAAAAAACCAATTCTGCGTCTCGAACTCTCTTTCATCCATCCCATCCCAGGGGATGGTGAATCCTCCCTTTGGTTCCTTTTTTCAACATTTCACAATTTTTAGCCCTTTCATCCCCTCAACATGACGACTCTGTTCAAACTTTCGAAGTTCAAACGCCTCAACTAATACTCGCGTTCTGCATTCGGAAAATATCCACCACTTGATCTGCGCAGAGGTATTTGTGCGGGAAAAGGGATGAACATTGTGCTCCCTAGCCTGAGTAGTGAGTGCATGATTTCCGAGCCCAAGCGCAGCATTTTCTTCGCATTCTGAAGCTCGCAGATGTTGACACTGATGTTGGCTGTCCCTGTAAGTCATCGTAGACTTATAGATGTTCTGCAAACAGTCCTTAAGAAAAATGTATTGCAGACATTGCAAGAGGCACACACTTCTTTGGATGCGAGTAGGTTGCCTTCCAGCTCTGCAACCTGCTGCAAGAGGTATGGGCATGACATGTGTGTACGATTTGCTAGGCTACTTTATAATCACAAGCCCTCAGTTTGCGGCAAATCGAACGAGCGCATACAATGCTCCAGCTTCAAAAGCCAGCCAGTCCTCATGGCCTGACACTTCTTGACAGCGCAGTGAGCAGCCATCACTGTAGCCGCCATTACTCCAGACACAGCATGCAAGTGACGAGTCCTTAAACCACCGATTCGCTGCAGGTCTAGCAATGCTTTCACCGGTGCATATGGCAACCGCATCGAGCTGCCATTATTCAGGACACAACACGCAAGTGATGCGTTCTTAAAACCACCAATTCACATACGGAGGCCACAGGTACCAACCAGGTGGGCACACAAAAAGTGTTGCGTGCCCGAGAAAAGTCATTGGTGCAGGGTAGGTACTGCTATGTCAGGGAAAACATTAGAAATAAAAAAATAAAAAAATAAAAAAATTGTAGGGGCCATATGGAAGGAAAGATGTAGCAGAACCCTGGACGGTGCCAAGAACCCACGTTACAAGGTCTGGTCAGCTACCAAGGGAATGATTGAAGCAGAGATTCTGTTCCAATGGAGGAAAGACAAAATCCTGCTCCAGAGATCTCCAGATACAGAACAGGAGATGCTGGCTGGCTAAATTCAAGCGGGTGTTATAAGCAAGGGGCAAGGTGGCTTATCTCAACGGTCTGCATCTAAAGTCGAATGAGTGACATAACTCTGGCACAACAGGCATACATCGGAACACCCAGCCACAGGAGGCACCGGACCCCATCTGGACACGAGAGGGAATCAAGAACCAGCAACGGAAGGACTACGCCATGCTCGTACGGGACGCAAACTCGGCAGCTATCCGGAGGTCCTCAACGACTGAGGGATGACAAGAGCCAGGGATTGTCTATGAGCTTTAAACAACCTGTACCCCAGGGGGTCTTAGGACACCTCTGACACAAATGCATATGGACCCGCACGGCGCACCGATTCAGCCTCCGCATTATCGCCTAAAAACGCAGTAGGTACTGGTGGTTTAAGCGTCTTTTAGAATCTTGTTTGAACTGCCAGTACACAGCCCCAGGCAACTGAAGAAAACGAATGGCTCACTCCTAGAATCGTGGAGGCTCGGGGCTGCTGGCGCCTAAAAAGGAAAAAAGTGCACAGTTGGCAGTGGGGCACAGCTTGGCGCGCAGTGCGAGTCCGGCTCGAGTGTACGGGTGGTTTAAAGTGGATCCGACAGATTTTGCACAACCAAGCTGAGAGGATTTCTAAAAAGAGAGGCAAGCTGACAGCCAGTCCTCGAGTGTACGGGTGGTTTAAAGTGGATCCGACAGATTTTTTTATTTTTTTTTTGCCATGACCGGGTCACCTGGGCATCAGACCCCCCCGGGTGTCACGCTGGGCGGCCGGTCATGAAAATCTTCCTAGGATTTTTTCGATTTTTAATTATTTTTTTTGCTAGGACCTTCCCTGGTCCTTGCACGGCCGGGCCGCTGCGGAAAATAGGACGATCCGGGCGGCCCAGCTGGTAGCTTAGGGTTATGGACTATTATGGAGCCAGGACCATAAGGACCTGTTTAAATTTAAAAGGAAATAGAAAAGAAGAGAAAAGAAAATGCCTGCACCGAAAAATGGTGCCAACAAAATGCATCTTGTTGCCCCCTTTTACTCTAGGCCTAACCATTGGAGCTGAGAAGGGCCAGGTTGGTTGGTGTTGAATCAGGCGTATGAAAAAAAAACTGGGTCTACCAAACTGGTGGTTTAAGGCACATTACATTCACACTAGGAGCTTGTCGACCTAGTCTAGTTTTTAACTATTTAACTACAGTCAATTCCATCCCCGAAGAGTCCCCAGTGCCGTTGACCCATATTTCTGAGAACATACTCACACTAGGACTTTCCTGGATGTATATGACCACTTCTCTGACTCAGCCTGGATGCACCTAACCACAATTATGTCCATGGGGACGTGGGAAAAGTCCTTGTGTGAGTATATCCCTGAGAGAGACTTTCCCATGAATTATTGCATTAGCAAACAACATAGGATATAGTACCGATATACATACGAGATAGAATATGGAAATTTTGAAACAAGATTTTTATTCGGAACGACTGCCCGGCAACTGAAAACAGTGAAAAGCGACGAAAGAGACAACGCTCACAACATATTCATGCTCGTGTACCACGGCCGGACTTCGGAGCTATTGTGGAAAGGGCCTACCAAGGTTAAATTATTCATCCTCAGAACTCACTCTATAGAGAATCAATCAGCTTAAACCAGTTTTAATCCCATTACCTCACGCCCCGCACCACCCCAACCCCCACGCCTCCCCCACGCCCCCTCCCCCTCCCCTCTCCTCTTCCTTCCCCCACCCCTCTTCCTTGTGGCCAAGCAGTTTCCCACTACCTAATATCCCTGCACTTCTTGCTTCTTATGGTCCGGAGTCAAGCGTGAAGGTGTCACGGAGGGCAGCCCTAGGCCCGAAGAAACATTGAGGGGACAGGACATGTTTACAAGGGAAACCCACATGCCATAAGCCCCGAGGAGATCAACAGTAGAGCCAGAATAGTGGCAGGCATGATGATTGAAATTCGAAATTGAAAAACAAGTGTGAAAGTTACGAAGAACAAAGAGATTGTTTCCGCATGATGTAAATGACAAAGGATGTAGAAATCAACTCATGCGAGCAACAGTTGTGTAGAAAAAAGGGATGTCGCCGCAGTCTAGCACTCGTTGATATTCAGATAGGTTCCGACGGAACCACGTTTTCAAGAGATGTGGCTCTCCACCGATAAAAATGTAGCTCTCTACCACCAAAAAGGAGCCATCAACCAGGCAAAGGTCCAATCTGGAGGTTTCTCACGACCTTAATAAAAAGTGAACTTGCTTCGGATGTTCACATGAAAAGAGATTGTTTGCACACCTTCAGGCAGTTAGTAGACGCAAGCTTTTCATCAACTTTCTTGAAGAGATTTTCCCTCAAGAAGAGCAAAAAAAAAAAAAAAGGAGACTTCAAAGCCAAAAAAACATGGCATGTGTTCGCAGAATCGCAGGCGCATAAATGCCCTTTATAAAAAAGGGACGAGAAAAAGCTGGGGCGGTCCCGGACGTCTGGGCCCAAATCCTACAGCGGAGTTGTAAAGCCTCTATCTGACTAACAGGGGATAGCGGATGTGCATGGCCACAAATCTTTTTTCCTATATTACCAGTTGCCCGGGATGTCCTGGGCGGACAGTCAGGGAGAGGGGGAGGGGGGGNGAGGGGGGGGGAAGAGAGAGAGAGAGAGAGAGAGAGAGAGAGAGAGAGAGAGAGAGAGAGAGAGAGAGAGAGAGAGAGAGAGAGAGAGAGAGAGATTCCAGGTTCTCTTTCCCAACCTCTGGGAGGATTTCCCAGTGTAAAACCGAATTGACAGGGAGTGAGGGATTGGTGAAAAGCAATGTAGAGAGAGCACGGAGGAGGGGGGTTGCCTGCTGCGAGTAGCCATGGTGGGCATCCGCTTGTTCTAATAAACGAGAACGTAGATAAAAGACATCTCCTGGGACAGCTTGGTGACATTGTGGTCGACGTAACAGTGATGACATTTGTCGATATATAGCCACCATAGGATCAGAGAAGTTCAATAGGGATATAGATTGGGAATACAAGACGCGAGTGCAAGAAAATAGTAAAATGTGTGGATCATTCCCTCCAAACCACAAGGGGCAGCCCGGAAACGACCCTAGTGACCTTAAGTACCTGCAGTGGAACTGTGGCAGACCAAATGCGATGGTGAGGAACATGGTCAACGAATAACGACTCAGACACACAAGCAGGAGAACAGGCATGCACACCCAACCACACACATTTCCTATTCGTTTTTTTTTTTTTTTGTAGGGTGGGTGGGTGGGGGGGGAGGAGCGTGCCACCACCCACGTCCGCCCTTTCTCTTAAACCACGAGTACACGGCCATACATCAGCCACGGGCCCTATTCGGAGGCCCAAAATGCGATGCCGGCCATTGATGAATTTATCGATGGCGGGCCAGCCCCAACTTTTTCAGAGTAGGGGACAAACAATTTCTCCACAAGGCTGGGGCCATGTACTAGCTGTTTAAGGTTCACCGTGAGTTTCAAGGGGCACACTTTGCAGTCATTGCACTGCATGCATCGACTGTGCGTGTAGCGATGTGCCCCACAGCTGTGCAGTTACCTGTACCATGCAAGGGCAAATTGTCGCAAAGTTTATCAACAGAAAGAGGTAGAAATCTGGAGGCGTCTATGGAATTCTCAATGACGGAAAAATAAAAACACCAACGACTCTGCGGATGGGAACAGGGGAACACAGAGGAGAACATCAGGTCCACTGAAAAGTGGCCACGTCTGAAGGCACACATCAGCCAACAAGCAAGTCTTGCAACTTTGCTCACGGCTAAATAAATGACAGGCAGATCCTTGACTGATGCAGGTAGGTGCAGTAACATGGCAGCACGGTCTCTTCCTGGATGTGACATGTTAGTACAGTTCTTGCCCAGAATGATCTGACACTGCGATCGTGTCAGTAGATATGAGTGAGTCAAGGTGCAGAATAAAAGCACTTCTTTTTGCCACATACTGTAGAAATCTGACACAGCCATGTAAGAATTCTTAATGTACAGAAAAGAGGAAAGGATCGGGGGAAGGAAAAGGGGTGTGCGTGTGTGTTGTCATATTCGCCATACACTCAAAAAAAGCATGACTGTGCCAGACTATTTCGTCGGACTTCCACCGACTCATCAGGAGGTTGAACCCCGACACCCGACATTCTGCCCACGATGCATTTGAATGTGTGTGTGTGTGTGTGTGTGTGTGCGTTGTGGGGGAGGGGGGCTCTTATACACATCTAGATGTGTATAAGAGACAGGTCCGAGCCCAAACACACACACAAAAAAAAAAAAAAAGAAGTCCTCAAAAAAATCTGAAAAAACACTATGTTATGCAAAAAAAAGAAGTCCTCGAGCATTACTCTTTTTTTTTTTTTTTTTTTTTGAAAAGCCTTAGCTGTCTACTAGAGGGGGTGATACGAGCATCCCCCGCTAGTAGTAACCTCGAGCATTACTTGATAATCTCCATCCCAAATGAACTGGGCGCAAAGCCACAGGTATCAATCTATCTCCCCTTTGTCCTTCACCCATAACGTTGTTCGGCTGTGAGTGCCTGGCAACAACAAACTATTAGGATGGTCATATGTAAAATCCTGTGGTGCTCGTGCCCCTGCAATAAGGTCATACTAACACTACCACTTTCTACTCCGAAACTCCCCCGCAAGTCCTAGTGTGAGTTTGCCCGAGGCCTGATACATTTGTTTGGTTAGTCCAAAGGACCACATCCTCGTTCAGCCCCAGCCTCCCTTGGATTCCTTTCTTCTCCCTTCCCCCCACCTTTTCTAAACCACTAGTCGGGCTGAGGCCGACTGAAACATTCGCCAGCGCAGAAAGAGGTCACGTGCTGCACCGGCCGTGGATCCCAATCGCAATAACAATGGTTGGAGTTTACCGCCGCCATTTCTTTTCTTGAGGATGCCAACCTTGAGCGAAGTTGGGATCACCACGGTCAGCAGAAAACGTGGCTCAACAAAAAATAGTCGCAGCTGAACCACAAGTACGTTTCCCAGCTAGAACATCAAAGTCACGGTGTGCATGCTGCCGCGACTCTCGGGAAGTACCAGGGCGCCATTTCGCTGACACCCATCCAGGCAAAATGGTCCTCACATGTGGCCCATCTCGCCTGAATGGATGTGCCGCGACTTCGGTTTTCTAGCTGGCAAACATACTGGTGGTTTAAGGAAAAATGAACAGCTACAACAATTAACCTGAAAGGAAAAGCCTTTCAGATTCCCAATCGAGCACTGCGATTTTCAGATGCCTTCAGAAAGAACTGTGCTGACGGCTTCGAAATGAACCCCCCCCCCAAAAAAAAAAAACAGCTCGGTGGCACAAGAGCTTCCCAATCTTACCAACCTTCCATTTCCTCTCCTTGTTACAAGCCTTACTCTCCTTCCGATCCTTGGAGCATGCCACACATGATTAAATAAATCTCAGCGTAATCAGAAGGGAAGGACAGAAGACAAAGAAGAAGAAAGGGAAAAAGAAGAGGGAGATGCACAAAGTGAACCCCGTGCAACCGCAACGAAGAGAGGGAGAGGTAAAGGCCTCTCCACTTCAAAGCCAGGACTACACAGCTCCCTGTCAGAGAGCTGTCCAGGACTATGGAAGTAGTATGGATACTTCTTGCATGGAAATCTCCTCGCAATGGAAACATCGCCTTCAAGCCTTCCAATCCTTAACAGCATGCCAAAACTTCTGCAGAGGTTCAAGGACCACTACCTTTCACGTACATCGGCCACAGGAACGGTCTCCGCTCCGTCCGAATGCCGAAACGAAACGGCAGCCGCCGATGACATTAATCAACAGCGTCCGCCATCGTCCCCGGTCCCTGAAGAATGCGATATAGGTTATATTCCCACATTTCCCAACACTGTGAAAGGTAGTGGCGGATTCAGAGTCGAGAAGGGGACGAACTCGGTCAATCCAGGACCATGAGGAGAGGAACTCAATCGATCCAGGACCATACTGAATACATTTTCTAGGAACTAACACAGAAGTATAAAATTTTTGAAGGTTACCAAAACAATCAAGAACTCAAACCATGAGTCCCTCCGAGCCCCTCTTCCTGACCTGGATCACTGTTGCTTGCCAAAAAAAAAGACAAACCGGTGCAGGCACAAAATACTAGAATAGTTCCTTTTCTTCTGGAGCGACCAGCCACGTTGGTCCGGTAGAATAAGGCCCTGTCAACACAGCGCATTAACTGCGGACTTGAAACAACACGGCTGGAAAACGGACTACCGTCTACACCCGAATAGAACTCTCCCGGCCATTATCTCTGTATCAAGACTGAAAGTTGCCCCAACTACAGCTATAATGACCTGGCGTTCTATTCGGGCGAAGACGGTAGTGGCTCAACATGTGACTATCTGAGGGCACACTCGCACTAGACTTTCCTGAATATATCTACTGGAATTACGGCCCAACATGTGGATGCATCCTACTGCAAATCACATCCACAGCTTAATAGACAAGGTGCTAGTGTGAGCATGCCCTGACTGGACTACATTACCTGACAGCCTACTTCTCTCGCACTAAATGTAATCCGCACAAGGCATAACTATCAGGATGTCAACAGCTATTGCGATGAACTGCATTGCCCGACTCCATACTCGTATTGCATTGAATCACCACTGTGACATACCTAATTGGTTTTCCCAACCATGGGGCAGCGTACCTAAGCGTTTTACCACCAGGATTTTTCTCACCATCCACTGGCACCCAGCAACTTTTTGTTTTCGCTTTTTAACTCCAGATTGGGGCCAATGGTCACCAATGTCTTTTAAATTTTAATATATATCAGCATATGTTTTTTTTTTTGTTTTTTTTGTTTTTTTTTGTTTTGTTTTTTAAGGGGACCCAGTGCAGCATTGTTTTCTTCATTTTCCTAATATTTTTCCCTAACACAAAAAGATTTAATCATCAACTTAATCTACATCCCTGATTATTTCCAAATTTCTTGTTTCTAAGCCCATAAACTCACCAAAGAGAGCGCCAGAGGTTTGTAGCCCAACGTGCCCAAGGCCAGCATGTATACCACTTGCAGGCCTTGGTTGAAGTCGGGGGCCGTGGTGTCAGCGATGTGATCTGCACCAGTCAGCCGCCTTTTGGCTAAGTAAGCTCAAGTGTAGTAACTGTTATCAGATCAGTTTAATATCTGATCCGTGGTCCATCAGGACACGTAAAAAAAGAGTTACACCAGCCATGATTTTGCACGTCTCTCTCTCTCTCTCTCTCTCTCTCTCTCACACACACACACACACACACACACACACACACACACACACACACACACACACAC